AGGTAAACAAGCAGCCATCTAGCTGAGAAGCAACAAAGCCCACATGGAAGAAGCACACCAGCCTGTGTGATCACGAGGTGTCAAAGGGATCAGGGATCAAAGAACAAAAATCAAATGATTGTGAATGAGAGGCAGTGCAGATTGGGGAACTAAGACCCACCTGTAGGCAACTGGAAATCCTCTTACAGAAGGGTCACGGGGAGGAGATGAGCAAGTCCGGGTGCAGTGTAGCAAAGAACAAAAAATCAAATGATTGTGAATGAGAGGCAGTGCAGATTGGGGAACTAAGACCCACCTGTAGGCAACTGGACATCCTCTTACAGAAGGGTCACAGGGAGGAGATGAGCAAGTCAGGGTGCAGTGTAGCAACAATGAAACATACAACTTTCCTCTAGTTCCTAAATTCTTACCCCCACCCCCACCCCATCCCCCCGCACTATCGTGATCCCAATTCTATCTTACAAAATCTGGCTAAACCAGAGGATGTACACTGGTACAGATAGGAATTGGAAACACAGGGAATCCAGGACAGATGATCCTTTTAGGACCAGCGGTGAGAGTGACGATACCAGGAGGGTGGAGGGAGGGTGGGGTAGAAAGGGGGAACCGATTATAAGGATCTACATATAACCTCCTCCCTAGGGGATGGACAACAGAAAATGGGTGAAGGGAGACGTCGGACAGTGTAAGACATGATGAAATAATTTATAACTTATTAAGGGTTCATGAGGGAGTGGGGAGCAGGGAGGGGGGGAAATGAGCTGATACCAAGGACTCAAGCAGAAAGCAAACATTTTGAGGATGATGATGGCAACAAACGTACAAATGTGCTTGACACAATGGATATATGTATGGATTGTGAGTGGTACAAGTCCCCAATAAAATGATTAAAAACAAAAAGAAAATAGCACCAGACAGGGAAGTAAAACAAGAGGCCTTTATGGGACAGAATCAGAGGCTACTCAAAGGGCAGGGTCTGAATCCTGAGGGTTTCAGGACCTTGCACTACTAAGACTTTTAGATCAAGCTGTTACCAGACTCCCCACCCCCAGGCAAGGGGACTCCCTACCCTCTACAATAGTCAGCTCTTGCACCAAGAATTAGAAGTGTTCCTGTTATGCAGTTTCCTCCACTACAAATGAAGTTGATGTTTTCCAAAGCATCAGCCAAGGAGCTGGGCCTGGCAGCAGGCCCTCAAAAACTGGGAGTCTGAGAAAGCATCCAAGTGATGGGCTAAGTGAACTGTTCCTTCTCAGAATGGAGCTGCGTCAGCATACAGAAGTCCAAAGGGATGACAGTAAGTGGCCCCTGCTGAAGCTTCAGTAGCTGCACACCCCTCCAGCATTCTCCTAGCTGTGCAAGACCCCATGCAGATTAAAAGTGAGGGCTTTTTATGCTCGGGCTAGCAGCATCTACCTGCTGTAGAATCACCTACAAAGTATGTTTGGACAGCAGTAACCAACAAGTCCTCACAGGGCCCATTTCTTACATGTCTTGACCATTGTCCTAGGGTGGAATCCCACCATAGACAACCCAAGAAATAGCAGAAATCGTTACCCTTCTGTCCCATTATGACCTGTGCTTGCATGTTTCTCATGAACAAGGGTTCATGGGAAAAACTGCAATCCCTGAACCCCAACACGAATGGGGTCAAGTTATCTGCCCCTGTGCTGGCATAGGGTAGGCACATGCTGAGCCAGTCAGTGTAGCTGGTGTGCTGGACATCTAAAGCCATCATAGATCTGTTATCAGTCAATCTGCCTGTTATCACTGACCACCACTTGCCCCAAAACTGATATAACAATTGATGTTTCAACAAGCTGATGAAGCACTGAAAAGACTCACTCTTCTATACTAGAAATCTGGAAGATAACCACTTGGCCAACTGACTGGAAGTGATCTATACTTGTACCCATTTGAATAAAAGGTGACCCAACAGAATGTGTAAAGTATTATCATTGATATCACATGCAAGTAAAAATCTGCTTAAGACCATCCAACGAGTTACAGCAGTGCATTGGCAGGCAGCTGAATCAGAGATTGGGCCAGATTCAGAAGAGGACATGGTTTGAGAACAAATCCCAGAACACTGTGTTCACGCAGAACTTGTACAGGGATCAACAGGTGGTTGTGTGAACAGAACTAGGGAATACTGCCTGGTTCTTAAAAACAGGAAAGCTGTGCATCAGGGTTGTATCCTCTCAACACACTTAATCTGTATACTGAGCAAATAATCAGAGAAGCTGGATTATACCCAGTATCAGGACTGGAGGTGGCTTATTAACAGGATGCGATATGCAGATGAAACTACCTTGCTGGCTGAAGCAGGAAGGACTTAAAGCACTTCTTGAAGATCAAGGACTGCAGCCTTCAGTATGATTACGACTAAATGTAAAAAACATCAAAACCCTCAACTGGAACAATATGTAGGATCAAGATATGGAGAAAAGGTTGAATTGTCTGGGTTTTTGTCTTGCTTGAATCCATAATCAATGCTCATGGAAGCAGCAGTCGAGAAACCAAAAGACGTGTTGATTAGGTAAATCTGCTGCATAAGACCTCTTTAAAGTGTTGAAAAGCAAGGATGTTACTTTGGGGATAAGGTGCACCTCACCCAAGCCATGTTATTTTCAATTGCCTCATATGCATGTGAGAGTTGGACAATGAATAAGGAAGAATGCAAAAAAAAAAAACCCAACTGATTTCAACTATGGTATTGGCAAAGAATCTTTAAAGCACCATGGACTGCCAAAAGAAGAAAGTACAGCCAGAATCCTTAGAGGCAAGGATGACAAGATTTCACCTTACCGACTTTGGACATGTTATCAGGAGAGACCAGTCCGTGGACACCAGGCTTGGCCAAGTGGAGGCGTAGTGAAAAAGAGGAAGGTCCCCATGAGAGGGATTGACACAGTGACTGCAATAATGGGCTCTCACAAGTACAATTGTGAGGATGGCAGGGTACGGTGGAGTTTTGTTCTGTAGTACAGAACATGGAGTTGCTAGGAGTTGGAAGTGATTTGATGGCCCCTAACAACTACTGTCCCCTTGCTTCACACCTTGGACACAAGAGACAAAATCAGAAGTCTGCTGCAACGTGTTTATTATGTGCCAAAAGAACTACCCCACAGCTTACTCCACACATCTGTAGGGGGTGCAGTCTTGCCTGCATATGCTACAATGAGGTAGAGACTTCACACACAGCTTCACAAAACCCACAGAGTAGCTGGGATATGCAAAAATGCAACATCAGTTCAGCAGGAGGGGAGAGGGGAGGGGGAGTTATGACACTGATTCTTTGGCACACAGCTTCCCAAAGAGGGGCAAGTAGTTTAAAAGAAAAAAACTTAAAAGAGAGAAAGGAAAAAGTCAAGTTTTCAAATTCCAGTAGCATTTCAGTCGACTGCAACTGTTGTTTCATACATTTCTCAAATGAAAGCAATAAAGGGTACTTGCCCCCTCTAAGAGAAAGGGCTCCTGTGAGCCTTCATCTGCCCCCATCAAAAAGCAGCCCTTTTTAGCCCAGTTACAAAAAAGAAAAAAGCCCTGTGACTTTGTGATTAAAAACTTCTATCAACCCTCCCCCCAGACATAAGTGCAACTTAGAAAGGTGCAGTAAACCATTTAAAACTATATACAGCAGCCATTCAATTGTCATTTTATCCGGTCCAGTTTCAAATTAAAAAAAAAAAAAATTCTCCTTGGTCACAAACGTCTTGACTTGCAACGGTGAGAAACAGTGACCAGCAGTCCCCCAGACACAAATTTGCTATAATGTTAAAAGCTGCCAGGAAAGAAAAAAAATCTCTTGTTCCAAACGACTTAAAAACTGTTTTAAGGAGTGTAAAAAGGAACCGGTAAAAACCCTCGAGCGTAAAATATGAAATATGATTTTGGTTTAAATGAAGAGCAAAGTCTCCTTGTTGTTTACAGTAAAAAACTCCAGCTGAACACTCAGTTTATGCCGTTCAGGTGGGGGTTAAATAAATGGAAAGGCACTGTATGGCAACTGCAAGAACGAGACCAATGAGACCTGCGCGTCATCACCATCAGTATTGCAAGGAATGTAAAAAAGCGCTTTAATAAATAAACCTAGATGTAGACATCCGTGTCAACACCTTCTGGACACGTTTTTTTTTGTTTTGTTTTTGCTTTTCATTGGCAAAATGAGGAACTAAAATCTGGGAAAACTGCAGAGTCACTTGGAGGGTGAGCCACAAGGTCCTTGCACTGGCACACCCCCTGAAAACAAAACCCGACAAAACTCATTGTGCATTAATTAGTGCAGAAACAAAGACAGATTCAGCAAGTGCAAAGGTGACTACAATTTTCCCTTGTCCTCGGGAAGCCAGCTCCTGGCCACCATGGCAGGTGGTGGAGGCGGAAGCCTTATGGGCCAGCGCCTTGGTTGCCATCTTCTAGCTGGACTCTCGGTTCTTCTGGTTCCGCATCAGTGGGCTGTGGTGGCGCAGGCCCTCCATGCTGTGCCGCCAGTGCCAGCAGCTTCGGCAAAAGTACTTGAAGCAGACCTGG